TCAAACTCACAGAGATCTGCCTGCTTCTGCCTCTTGAGTGTTGGGATTAAAGGTACGTGCCTCCCCTGCCCAGGTTTCAATTGTCAATTTGGTTAGATCTAGGAGGATCTGAGAGATGAACCCCTGAGCATGCCAGTGGAGGATTATTTTGCGTTGGTTATTTGAGGTGGGCAGATTTGACTACTGTGAATGACACCATTCCCTGATGAGAAACTAGGTAAGGCATAAAAAGAAGTTGAGTTGGCCAAAGCGTTCAGCACTCCCTGGCTTTGACCGTGCATGTGCTGAGATGAGCTGCCCCAAGGTCCTACTGATGTCACCTCTCTGCCATGATGGGCTGCACCCTTAAACTGTGACCCCAAATAAACCCATTCACCCTTAAGTTGCTTTCATCAGGGAGTTTTATAATAGCAAAGCAACTAAGGCAGGCCCCACAGGCCTTTTCTTCTACGACAGGGTGTTGATAGGCCGCTAGTCTTTTAGAGATTCTGTGTGGGTAACCAGAGATGCCGTAAGTTCAAGGATGCAACTGTCAGGCCATGTCCAGAAGCCAGAGCTCCACCCCACGACTCCTCTTTCTCTGGCTCTAACATTCTATTTACCACTTCTTCTACGATGCTCCCCGAGCCTCTGCGGGAGGATAGAGATGCCCCCGTCATGTCTAGGCTTCAACAGTGGCTTATTATCTGTGCTTTGATCAGCTGTGGTTCTCTGAAGTCACAACTGATAAAGAAGCCTCTCTGACCAAAGCTGACGATTCTATGACATTAACTAGAAGCCAACTGGACAGGGACACCATATTCATTTAGCAAAGAAGCAGCAGCAGCTTCCCCACTAACGCCTATCACCTCCCTAACCATGGGCTTCAACCATGTTTACAGCTCCCCATCTAAGTTCCCTCCTGTCAAATAGGTATCAGAAAATGGTTGGTTACTCCTTGTTCTATTTTTATTTTGTTGCTGTGATAAATACCACGACCAAAAGCTTAGGGGAGGAAAAAGTCTATTGGGCTTAAACTTCCAGGTCACAGTCCACCACTGAGGGACATCAAGGGCAGAACCCATGAAAGAATGCTGCTTGCTAGCTCATACTTGCTAGCTTTCTTACACAATCCAGGATCACCTTACCAGGGATGATGCTGCCCACAGTGGGTGGGTTCTCCTGTATCAACTACCAATCAAGACAATTCTCCACAGACACGTTGACAAACCAATCTGATTTGGGCAATCCCTCAACTGAGATTCCCTTCTCAGATGACTCTGGGCTGTGCCAAGTAGACAAAGCTAAGTAGGCCACTCTCCAAAGAGACTTGCCACTATCGGATCAGTGAACTCATTTTATTTGGTTGTCAATGTTGTATAGCAGGTCCACAGCTAATTAAGACTGCTGCTGATTCTCCTCCAGCATCCTGCATAACACCTTCTGGCACTATGGGTGCTACATATCAGAGAGGAAGCCTCCAGCCATGTCCCAACTTTATTTCTCTATGCCCTCTGACCAAGTAACAGGGTCTCATCAACCAGTTCTGGTTAACCAATAACAGTAGAAAATGCTAGTATTGTTTTGGGAACCCTAGGGACATCCCTAGTCAACATTCTTAGGGAAGTAGTCTTTGACATTGGGATTTCCATTAATTACCTATTGCTTATGCAAGCAGCTTTATAGCTTAATAATTATTAGAAAACTCTGTTTAAATTACTATGCTTTCTGTGTCTTAAGTGGCCTCAGAATGAAATACCACTGTTTACCCCAGTGCCCAGTAGTTTTCCATGTACTCCTTCCTCCCTCTCCAGGTAGCCCTGAGTAAATGATCTCCACTTACTCAAAAATCACCATAAGCTAAGACCTGACATAGTTACATAAATAAATGATAACATGATGCAATTTTTAAGAACCATTAAATTCCACATTGTGGAAGTAAAAACATCTAGAATAGCCTATAAAATTCTAACATTAAAAAAATCTCTCTCTTTTCTCTCTGTGTGTCTGTGTGTATATCTGAGAGAGAGAATGTGTACATGTGTTCTAAAGCAAAGAAATAATAATTAAAAATGTATTGATGTTCCCCTCTTCGAAGTATATTTTTCTTTTTAAAAGTGAATAGATGGGAAAAGATAAACTACATAAGTTAAAAGAATCTCTGAAATAGAAGAAAGTTGGAGGGTCATTACTATGCAATTTCAAGAATCAATATAATAAAATAGAAACTGACCATAAAGACAGAGATAACTGACTTTTAACAAAGATGCAAAGCCAATTCAGGAAAGAAAGGATAACCTTCAACCAATGAGGTAAGGACAACTGGCTATCCATGGATGGTAATATTAACAGCAGTGGACAGAGGAAAGTAGTTGGAGTAGGAGAGGAGGTAGACTTTAGTCTACCTCACACAGAACCAAACTGAATCATCCACATGATCATAAAATCTAAAACTATCACACCTCCAGATAAAAACAGAACATCTTTGAGTCAGGGAAAGATTTTATGATGAATTTGACTTTCATCAAAATTTGAAACTTTAGTAAGACATAGTAGTGCCTGCCTATAACCCCAGTGCTTGGCAGTCTAAGCAGGAGGATTAGCAAGTTGGAGGTCAACCTGACCTACATAATGAGTCCCTGTCAAATAAATAAAGTAAAACAAACAAACAAACATACTTTTGAGACAGGGTTTCTCTGTGTAGCCCTGGCTATCCTGGAACCCACTCTGTAGAACAGGCTGGCCTCAAACTCAGAGATCTACCTATTATAAACACGAAAAGGACTTCTACCCAGAGTTCTCTCAAAATTCAATAGTGGAGTGTGGGGATTAGTGGGTGATGGAGTGGGATGAGGAAGGACTAGAGAAGGGCACATTACTTTGGGGAGTGACAACACTGTCTACTATCTTGGCTAGGGTGATGGTTTCACAAATGTACACATGTATCAAAGTTTGTCAAGTTATTTGTTTCAAAGATATTCTCATTTTTAAAAAAAATGTCATTCTACCTCAATAAAACTGTTTAAAAGTAAAAAGCTTGTTTGGAGTATATGAAATGGGAAAGTCCTTCTAACCAAGAATAGACAAAATAAAAATTCATGAATATGCCAGGCATATTTGTGCATGCCTTTAATCTAAGTACTTGGGAGGCCAAGGCAGGTGGACCTCTGAGTTCAAGGACAGCCTGATTTATATAGTGAGTTTTAGGACATTCCTACAAAGAAACACTGTCTCAAAAAAAAAAAATCATAAACACCATCTGCAAAATGTCACTCTGTTTTATGTATATGGTGCAAAAAAAAAAACAAAAACAGACAAACAAAAAACCCTCTCCCTGGGAGGTGAAAAGATGACTCAGGTTGAAAATACTTCCAGAGGACCAAGGAAGGACCCAAGTTTGCAGCATCTGTATCAGACAGTGTTACTCTAGCTTCAGGTGATCTGGTGCCCTCTTCTGGCCTCTACAGGCACCCACACTCACGTGGCATGCACATACAGACACAGAGGCACCATACATTCACATATTTCTTTTTCCTTTTACAAAATGCACACTGTAACAGTGGTTTGTCTATTTTTGGTCTCTAAGCCCAATGCAATATATTTTTTAAACCCTTTTCTCATCAATCAAGTATAAATTAATTGTCCCCTCTTGTGAATTACCATAACTTATGCTAATTTTCATATAGTAATTTAATGCATTTATCTAACCACCTATGCACATTTACTAAGTGCCTCATATGGGCCAGGCATAAGCTTGACACAACATATACAAAGGTGAACCAGGACTAGTTCCTCCCTTTAAAGAGCCTTACAGTCTAAGAGCAGGGTGATGAATTAATCAATTAGTTAACAAGCAAACAAATAAGTTGCAATAACACACTAAAACAACTATTTCAAGAACCCTTATCCACTTCGTCAAAAAAATGCATGACTATAATTTGAGAGCTGGCAAAGGTAAAAATTCTAACTCTAGGCATCCAAACTCTCCGAAAGATGACTCCTTTCCCAGTGGAGAAAACAGCAAGAAGGGGTGAGATGGATCTGCAGAATCCGGGACAGCAGAATGATGCCAACAAGTCAAGGTCATACCATGGTTCCAGGGACAGCCTGTGTGTGTTATTGCCTCTGATTTTCTCTTCCCTTGAGAAACATATGGGAGTCGTACCAATCTAATTGTGAAAGCAACTTCTGAGTGTGTGGCAGTTCACTTTGTTACAACGACACCCCAGAAGACAGGATGGCTTGTAACATTAACATTTTCCTTCTCACAGTTCAGAAGTAGGGTAGTCCAAGATCAGGGGACTGGCAGGCTCGTTATCTGATGAAGATCTATTTTCTGGTCCAGAGATGGTACCCAAGAGCCCTGTCCTTGTGTGGTGAGGAAGCTAATAGCTCTCTGGGACTTCTCTCATCAGAGCACTGATCCCAAACATCTACTTCCATGACATAATTACTTCCAAATACCCATCCCCCCATCCTCATGCTATCACCTCAAGCGGTAAGATATACCCAGATATATCTTGGAGGATCCTAATTATTCGGGCCACACATTGTACTGGAGGTTCCCTTGGGACATTTTTGCTTCTTCACATGATCAAACCTCTTCTCTATGTTCAAATTCTGAGGAGGAAGAAAAGAGGAAGAGACAATAACTGGGTAATGGGAAATGTGGGGGATGAGATAACTCAGTTATCTCTCTTCCCATGATCAATATCTATGCAATTACAGAACTCCAAGTGGCACAAAAATCTGCACGGATTGAAAAGGTCTCCAATTACAATGTAACCATTTGAATTAAATAGCAAGGAGAAAGCCTTCAAACCTCCCTCAGGGCAATTCATCACCAGAAAAAACTTTTCATCTTAAAGATATTTACATCTACAGAAGTATCAGGTCTCAGAGGGGAAAAGCATTAGTACCTTATTTAAATTGGCCCGCACCCACCAGCATGAGATGGCTCCAGGAGACGGCAAGGGTCCCTGGGGCTCAGCATCCTCCTGAGTGATGGGCTGGGCTCTTACCTGTAGATAGGGTCCTGCATCACCAGCATCTTGCTCTCATCCCACGTCCACTCCTTTTTCTGCAATAGAAGAAGCTGTAAATGAATAAGTTAGGCTTGTCCTCAGGACAGAACCAGGACACACATTGTGCTACTAATGCATATGCAAATCCATGCATTTAGCTCCTGGCCTTTTCCCTCTAAGAGGCTCAGAGTTGATTGCTTCAAAAGGACAAGTGGAAAATGTCATGTGTCTGGTCTGATCAGTTTCCTCCAAGCACTTTGGGAAAGTGTCTCTCTAGGCACAGAGGATGGGAAGGAGCCAAGATGGCCTCGTGGGAGCACAGGCAGACTCTAAATTTCCTTAGAGAAAGTAAGGGCGGTGGAGGGGTGGTTATATATCAATCAATCCAGAAGAGTGGAAAAGAGGAATAAAATCGAGAAGGGGGCAAAGGTAAACCTTCAAAATATGAGAAGGATGCTGTCCAGCTCAAGTGAAATGCAGCCCCAGGCTCCTCTGGGAGGGGATGGGGACTGAACCAATATGTCAGGTAAGTTGACTAGGACAATGGCAGTTACTCATAAAAGAATATTCATTCTGGCTGTGATCAGTTTACTGTGACCATGGAGGAGACTGCAGAAGCAGTTACAGATGAGGATAAGAACGGGGATGAGAAAGACCCTGAAGAGGTGAGCGTTGTCTGTGTGTGAGAAGGGAAAGAGCCTGAGGTCAGCAACCAGCCACCTCCCCTGGGCTGACTTCCCCAGTGCCGAGATGGAGAGAATCCTGTACCACCTTCCTGGTCTTTGTGACAGATACATAGTGTTGTCAAGGGAAACTAGGGGACATTGCATTCATCTGTGAAAAAAAAAAAAAAAGACTCAAGAGAGCAGGGAAACATTAATGAATGAGGCCTTTTAGCGAGGTGGAGTTTTAAGTAGAAGGCACAGGATGGCTGGCCACTCTCAAAACATGGAGCTTTGGAAGTGCTCCAAGAGATTACAGAAGACCATGTTCAGGCCTAGAGAGTTACATCAGGGGAAGCAAGCAGCTTTACCCAGAGAAACACACACACACACACACACACACACACACACACACACATACACACACACACACACACATACACACACACACACACACATACACACACACACACACACATACACACACACACACACACATACACACACACACACACACATACACACACACACACACACATACACACACACACACACACATACACACACACACACACACATACACACACACACACACACATACACACACACACACACACATACACACACACACACACACATACACACACACACACACACACACACACACACACACACACACGCTTACTTTTTTTCCTTTAAATATTTGAAAATTTCATAATGCATGTAATGTGTTTTGATCAAGTCTACCCGCTTGCTCCTTCTCACTTCCTTATCTACCACTTTTCCCTCCCAACATCACGTGCTCTTTTATTTATAAGCACTGAGTCCATTCGGTGCAGCCTCTATGTGTACAGGTATAGAACCGCCATGGGAGCGTGAAGCTGACGCTCCCATTCCGGGAAGCCATCACCTACCAGTAGCTGCTCAGCTGTGGTGATCTTGTACAAGCAGTTCCACTTGTTGACATACATGCTCTTAATCCTTGACGACGTAATATCAACCCAACACTGGAGGTAGATTTAGACTGGTTTACAACTACTCAATATTAATCAATTTAAACAATTTTAGGGATGACAAAATTTCAATTATAACTAAATTGTAACTATTGTTTAGAGAGTCTTTTTCATAATGGCTATTCACTACCCTCCGATGTCCTGAATGGCCCATTTGGAATAGCACAGAACAGGGAGACAAATGAATTCTCCAAGAACCCCTTCAGAACTTCTTTACTAAATAGTCCCAGGGTTTAAAAACAGCCCTTACTGGACACATTCCCCAAACCTTCTGCAACCATAGCTGACACTTTTGGTACATATGACACCTGTCCCTCAAACCCTGATTCTTTGGAGCACCCTGACTCTGCCTCACCTGTGGTCTGATCGGCATGGTAGAAAAACTCACTCCTTTCTGTATTTTGGTGAGGCCATTACCCCAAACCCATAGGGCTCAGCACATTCATTAGCTGCCTTACAGCCTTCCACTGGCATTCACTGGAGCCATTTCCCAGCTGACGTGAACAGAAATATTTTCAAGATCTAAAGTCCAAATAGTTGGACACCTATTTCCAACATACAAATGTTTACTATAGGCACTATTTAAATAGCAACATAATATATTTAGAGTGTGATTTGATTTGGGTGTGGTGAATTTTTTTATAACATGAACATTAAATTAAGCCACATCCGTAGTCACAATCTAGTCTGCCTGCACTTTCAACTCAGTCAGCAATATTCATAAAGCACTGACCACTTGCTTCTGAGCCCTACTGGTAAGCTCATTTCAATTGTCAATTTTTTTTTTGTTGTTGTTCTAAGATTTCTACTTGGCTCATACTCATTTCTTTTTCTACTCTCTGCTTTTTCATTTGTTCAAAGACAGGAGCCAGACTTGGTGATACTTAAAGAAGTTTAGGCAGGAGCATCATTGGCCCCGGCAGTTACAGACCAGCCTGGGTACATACTAAGGCGTGATCTAAAAAGACAAAAATACAAACAAGAATATGTGTGACTGCTCTAAAATCATTTTATGATGACCTCCTTCAAGTCTTTGTCAGGTAACTTTGCCAGGTCTGGCATCCTGGGGGAGACACTTGCTACCTTTTTGTCCTCCTCTCAGAGAGAGATTTTACTCTCACAATCCCATCATTAGAAGAGCTATTCTACCTGTAGTGTCCACTGAGAATTATAGCCTTCTGGTCTGATTAATTTCATTGTATGATTTTTTTTTTATTGGCAAGGTTTTTATAATAAAGCTTATTTCTTTCTAAAGTGAGATTTTTTTTTCTTATTTCTTCTCTGGCAAATCACTTTCACTTGAAACCTGGGACCTTTAAACTATTTGAAGATTTGAGATTCATTTAAACTTTAATATCATCCCACAACAATGCCCTAATAGGGGAAAGAAAAAGACACCACCTTGCTGGTGTTGGCTTTCCCACTGGCCTCTGCAGACCCAGCTCCCTACCTGGCTGACGTTGGCAAGAATGCCTTGCGCCTGCTTTCCAAGTGTCCTCCACCCTTTGTTGCATGCAGGCAGCCTCATTACTGCTGGGCAGTGGTGGGAGTCCAGGTCTCTCCACAGGCTTCCACTAACATCACACAGGGAATAAGGTGAGGAGTGGGGAGGAGACACTCACTACCAGCTGGCCAGGATGGAAGGCTGACGGGTAGGGTACCTGATTCTAACCCAGCAGTCGGGGAAGTCAGGATTCTACTTAGCCAGGTCAGCCTCAGTGGTGGGTGGTTAGAGAACAGTTCTATTTGCTAAGCATTTGCCTGGGAGAGTAGTTATGCTCAACAGTGTTCTACCTTGCCAAGCTGACCTCTTCCTTCTCCTTTGGCTGGAGAGCAGGCTTACATGTGCTCCCATGGCATATCTAGGTTGCCAGCTTCTTCAACTTTGAGTCTGGGATAGATGAGGCATAAAGAAGCCTCAATCCACAATCATTTAGTTCCTGGTATTCCGGGTCTGAGCCCCAGTAATGGCAGATGGTTTCTGTGACCCACTGCATATATTTCTACTCAAAATGGCTGTGATGCTGAGACTGAATTGGGTATTAGATTAGGTTTCTTTCCTGCCCAGCAATGCTCCTTCAATGTCAAAGTTAACCCTGGGAGGACTCATCTTTGCAACTCTAAAGAATGCAACTAACTTCTTCTTTAAAAAGGAAGGAATAGAGAGGCAAAACAATGCCAAGCAACTATTTCCCTTTTTTGGCATTCCTGGACAGGAAGATGGCAAGGCCAGGCTCCAGGCATCTTGTATGAATTTCACGGGAGTCAACCACCACTGGCAGAGTCTATTGAAGTCAGAAATTAATTTTAGGAGCTATCCCTGCTTCCACAGAGCATATCCCTAGAAGGAAGGAAAACCCTCAACAATATACTCCCCCCCAAAATTATTGTCCTTTTCTGAAAAATCCCATTTAAATCCTCTCCTCTTCATTAAAAACCTTGCAGTAAAGCCTTGGTGAATCCAATAAGTCTATGAAGAGAGCAGGAAATGATCAAGGTTTTTGTTTGTTTGTTTTGATTTTTTTTTCAGCATAGGGATGGAACCCAGAGACTTTGGCAGCACCTTAACACTGAGCTATGTAGACCCCAGCTTAACTGAAGAACTGTTAGATTCTTCTTCGTCGAAATGACTTCTCATCTTCTCTTATTTTGCAAGTGTTTTAAAGATAATAATACAAACAAGCCACTCCCCTTCTCAATTTTTCAGATGGAAATACTTTTATTTCATGGAAAAAATAGCAAAATACTAATAGTCACAAGAATAAAAACAGGAAAGTAGACTAATAACTGAGCTTTACAAGATTATAAATTAAGGGTAGTTTCAAGCTTTGGCTAGGAGGTATATCACTGAACAGTTACTATAGCCAAACTGGTCCAACCATCTTTAGCAAGCCCACATAACACCAAGCTGTACCCAAAGCCAGCCTCCCCCTCCTTCCTTTCTTCCTCCCCTCCCTTCCTCCTTACATAAATGCTTGAAAATAGGCCTCAAATTCTTGGTAGCTGTGAGGACATTTTTAGTTTTGCTACTCTCCATCCTGGCTCAGCTGTAGTCTCTGAGACAGTCAGGAAATGAAGACATCTCCAGTCTAGATTGGAGTGGAAGGGTAGAAGAGGGGCACAGGCCTCTAACCCTCCAGCAGTAACCCTCTGGATGCCCTCTGGGGACAGGGAGGCCTTCACAGCAAGGGAGGAGCAGCAGGGATACTATCTTCAGCCTCCTTCCACCCCAGACATGTCTCACATGGCCCCTCAGGGAGTGCAAGCATTAACAAGAGAAGGGAGTGGTGGGCAAGGCTGATTAGCAAAGTCCCCAGCAAGATAACACTCACCTCTCACCAGCTCTGCAAATATAATGGAATGGAGGCAAGCAATGAGTGTGGAGCAGGTAACTGA